TAGCTTAAAAATTCAGGCAGTCTCTAACAACTCATCCAAACAACCTGAATATTTTATAGGTTAGCGTTTACCTCCAAAACTGGTCCCATGTACTTAGCTACGTCAGCAAGGCTGAATCCACTCCAGAGATAGCAGAGGTAGGAGCAACCTTTCATTCTGGTTACGAAGCCGAAAAATTTCAAAAGAGAGTGAATCTACAATTATGATTTTTGTATATCTCTGCAATCTAGCAACGAGGAGAGAGAGATAGTCAAAACCAAGCTGTTCTAACCAAACTGAAATGTGCTGCAGGCAAGTACATTATTTGTATTTCATGAATGTTAAGTGTATTTGTCTTTAAAATGTAGATGCATACAATCATTATTTTAGTATGTTTTTACAATGTGTATACAATTATATAATGTATTGATATATATGTGTGTGTGTGATTAATTTGCATTACTGTATTAATATAGTAGTCACATTTTTAAGTCAATTCCTGTGATTTGTACAGTGTCATGTAAAAATGGTTTTGACCTTTCTTGTGGTTTGATATCATCTCTCTTGTGACAATAGGATTGGCAGAACTTGCCTCAAGAAAGTATAAACCGGCTGCCAAGTGCTTCCTGCAAGCCTCCTTTGACCACTGCGACTTCCCTGAGGTTGGTGTCATTTTCAGCCTTGTTCTAATGCCACACCAGATATTTCTAATAATATTTTTGTAGATAAATAAGATGCAGTGTTTTCCTACATGGTGTAATGAGATGCTCTATTTGCTCTTTAGCTACTTTCCCCCAGTAATGTAGCAGTGTACGGGGGGCTGTGTGCACTGGCTACATTTGACAGACAGGAACTGCAGCGAAATGTCATCTCAAGCAGGTGAACTTTCTCACTTTCAAACTAGGTGTCTTAATTAACACGAGGTAGATTACTAGTGTTACTGGTTACATTTAATTTTACTCGTCCTTTTGTTTTTTTAGCTCCTTTAAATTATTTTTAGAGTTGGAACCACAAGTCCGTGATATTATCTTCAAGTTTTACGAGTCAAAGTATGCATCTTGTCTGAAAATGCTGGATGAAATGAAGGTAAGTTTACTGATGTGTGTTCAGTTGCTAGGTCTTGATTTAGCAAAGTTTCAGACACTGATTCTTTCTGTTATCATTTTAGTTGAAATTGTGATTCATGTGTTTTAATCATAGTGTTTATTTTTGTATTATAGGATAATCTCCTCCTAGACATGTATCTGGCCCCTCATGTAAGAACACTGTACTCACAAATCAGGAACAGAGCCCTCATACAGGTACGTAAAGGGATGTATGAATTTGGTCTATGAATTTTATTTAGTTGCTGAACCATGACTTCAACTTAATCTGACTTTAAAGGAATAGTTCATCCAAAAATGACAATTGGATGATTAAATGATGACAGAATTGGAATTTTTGGGTGAACTGTCCCTTTAAATATGTAGAATTCACAACAGCGACGTTCAATATGTGCTCAACTGGATGTATATATTTGCAAGGCATATTGACACATGCACATGATCAATGAACATCAGGTCATCCCTGTTTTTCAGCCTTGCTTGACATAGTTATATTGATATGGAATGCTGAAAGTTGAAAGTGTAATGACCATGAGATAATATTGGCTCCTAAAGTATTAGCGTAGTTGCATTTACATGACCAATTGATTAACTTTTGTCTTTTATTTCCCACGGGCAGTACTTTAGCCCCTATGTGTCAGCAGACATGAACAAAATGGCCGTGGCCTTTAATACCACAGTGGCAGCTCTGGAGGATGAACTGACCCAGCTGATCCTGGAGGGCCTGATCAATGCTCGTATCGACTCCCACAGCAAGGCAGGGCTGCACTCTCTCATTTGTTACCCTCTCATTTGACACTTCTTTTTCTGGAACAATGTTCCCTTTTCTTGTTGCTAAGCTAAAATACTTTAGCTGATTTTTGTATCAATACCTTGAATTATATTTATAATCCACATTTCTCTTGCTTGGTCATTGAGCTCCTTACCTTGAATAACACACACCATGTTGCCTTTTTTGGCTAAAACAAGGAACTGTTCTAGAAACAGCCTTTGGTCAAAATTATGCATTAAAATGTTTCATCGGTGAATTGAAAACTGTGTTTGTAGATCCTGTATGCCAGGGACGTGGATCAGAGAAGCACAACCTTTGAGAAGTCTCTACAGATGGGCAAAGAGTTCCAGAGACGAGCGAAAGCCATGATCCTGCGGGCAGCTGTGCTTCGTAATCAGATACACGTCAAGGTAACAGGGACCCCAGGGTAACGTGTCCTCGCTCTGCTTTGCTCTTCACTTCACCATCACCTGACCATCTCCTTCCCTTCAGCATGAGTGTCTCAGAGCTCCTCTGTATTTCTAAGTCAGCATCAAAGTGCTGCATTTATTAAAACAGTTACATGTCTGAGGATGCGTCATTAACATTGTGATGCTTTGAGATGAAGCTGTACAGTATCTTATAATTGAAATGACTCCTATAAAGGAGCCTCAGCTGTATTACTGTACTTATAAGCAAACTGCATGTGAGTTTTGTTGTACTAAGTGAATGTTAAATGAATATTCTGGGTTCATTTTAGGTTAATCTCGATTATCAGCACTTGTCTCTTTAAAAAAAAAAAAAAAAAGCTAAAAATCTGGGGCACTTACAATAGAAATTAACGGGGACAATCCAAAAATGTTAAAGTACTTGCTGTTTTAGCAGTATAACCAAAATAAGTAGATAATGTGTCTATATGAAATTATATTTCTGTTCAAAAGTTTGGGGTCAGTAAGAAGAAAATGCTGTTCTATTGAACTTTCTATTCATCAAAGAATCCTGAAAAAAATGTATCACTAAAATATAAAGCGTCAAAACTGTGTTCAACATTGATAATATATTGATATATATATATGATTTGCAGCTTATATGATTTCTGAAGGATCTTGTGACACTGAAGACTGCAGTAATGATGCTGAAAATTCAGCTTTACCATCACAGGAATAAATTATTAAATAAAATGTAAAATATATTAAAAGGTGGTAATTTTTTAAGTTGTAATAATATTTGACAATATTATTATTTTTACTGTATTGTTGATCAGATAAATGCAGCCTTGATGAGCATAAGAGACTTATTTTAAAAACATTCAAATATGCTTACCCAACCCAAACTTTTGAATTGTAGTGTATATAAAATGTTGTTGCCAATACAGCATAACATAAACCCTAAACTGACTGTATAAATGAAGAGAACAACTTTATAGTTCAAATAATAAACTTTTTTTTATTGAAGCATTAATGTCAGTGCTTTTATAAAAGAAGCTTCGGATTTCTGCTATTAAAAATTGGCCCTATTTCCTTCCATTGGAAGTGCCTCACGAGAACCTCAAATTTTGCATTATTTTTTTTTTGAGTTTTTTTTATTTTTTATCAACATTATGCCACAAATGCTGTTGATTGAGCTTATCTTGTAAATATTTTCAAATCAGTCCACTAGCTTATTGCATTTAGGCAATCAACTAGATGCAAGTTCCTTTTAATATGTATGGAAAACCTGTAAGCTCTTCGAGATCTTGTGAGGTTCTGTTCCCTGCGAAAGAGCTATTAGAATTTGAGACGGAAAAATTGAAATGCTTGTTATACCCCTAGTCTTCATCTGTCATTCTTCAAGTATACCAGCATGCATTTCCTTCCCAGTCTGCTCTACGTGATGCTTCTCACTGATCCCTCTCATTTCTTTTGCAGTCCCCTCCAAGAGAAGGCAGTCAAGGGGAGCTCACACCTGCCAACAGCCAAACACGAATGAGCACCAACATGTGAAGACTCGACCAGATGCCTCTCCTAGGAAAGTACACAGGGCCACTGCCGCATCTTAGGCCCCAATTTAGAAATCAATTATTTCCCTGCTGAAGAGAGAAAAATCACAATATAAAGACTTTATTTAAGTTGGGAAGAAGATATCTGTTGTCTGTATTAAAGACAAGCACACCCTGTTGCTCGAATGAAAAGGAAAAAAAGATAAAAAGAGAAACGCGGCACTTAAGCTGTACTGGCCTGTTGTTCTTTGTAAAGGATGCACTTTCCTCTGTATCTTGTGACAAACCTTGATTACACATTGAGAAACCTCATCACAAAACATGCTTTTAAAATAAACATACATTCAAAAAGATGCTTCATTCCGGAAAGGTTTTTTTCTGTTTCTAGTGTTGCAGCTGGAAATGCAAGACTTATTTGAACACTCTTTAGAGTGATTTCAGCGTCATCTGTTTAATAACATTGTTATTTCTCTGTTGTGTTGTACTGTTTAAGTAAGACTGTTACCCCAGTGTATTATCATAAGCTGGTCAGTGACATTCAAAGGTAGACTACTTGCTTTTATGGCCTTGAATAAACTACCTAGTAACATTTAAGAACTTTTCAGCTTTTTTGGTCATATTATTAGAAAAGGAGAAATGCTAATTTTAACACTTCAAAATTTGAGCAAAATTTCCAAAATGTTTGAACAACACCAAGCCCAAGGAACAGATGAGAAACCCCCCCCCCCACACAGAATAACCACAGCTCTGTACACACATTTACATTTATGGACAGTATGGGATTCATTCAATGAGTTTTCTGAGTAACTGTCCCACATATTTAGAATAAGGCACCGAGTTGAGTCCTGATGCTTTAAGGTGTGGAAAAATAAACATGTTGGTTTATAAGAAGAAAATGTCACTATATTGAACCAAAGTTGTACTGGAGTTGCATACTTTTTTGAAACGCTCAAAGAATGACAATGACGAAGGCAATACAATCATGGCAATAAGGGTAAGGTATTTGAATCAGACAACATATTTTAAAAAAATTACATTCACTGGGTCAGGAATCTTTGTAGTGTAACTTTCGTCATCTCTAAAATGAATGTCAGAATGAGTGTGTGAAATAGTCACAATGATCATGACCATACAGGAATGTAATTAGAGTTCTCAGAGTAAAAGTAAATTTATGTACATGTTAAAAAAAAATATATATAAAAATGCATTAAAAGTCAAAGGTGTTTGATTGTGGTTGCAACATACAAATCTGCCATATCTTTCGTTTCGGAAGACAATAAATATAGTAAAAATGCAGTTCAAATAATGTTTGAGTGAAGGTGTCCATCAGTTATTTCCACAGAGCGTCCCAAGTTAAAAGTCCAGCTCCTCTAAGGTGAGCAGGGAGCAGTACAGGTTTGTGCAGTAAGAGTGGCTGCTTCATATACCACTTTCCCAGTAATTATCAAAATATACTATTCTAATAAGCAATCTTAAAATATTAAGAACATGGAACTATTCACCCAACAGCAGTCCAGAAAGTGGTACTTCGTTACAGAAAACAATGACTCTACAGATGGACTAGCCTAAGTAACAGTAGCACTGATCTTTTCTACGCCTGTTTCTTTGCATGTTGAGTTCATTTGGTGTGATATGGATCCAAATCACATATCAACAACAGTGACAAACCAATTTTGGCCACAAATGCAGTCTTGTACATCCAATTCAGTGCAGCAATGTTAAATGATAAATCAGTTCAATGTGTCTTCAGATGTCACGGTTGCCCATATCCAGCACACATCTGCTTTACAATGGATCATGGACTGCAGTGGAAACTGTCCCATTAGTCAGCCCACCACCCGTATCTGAGTTACACTGTTTCAAAGCCTTGGTTTTGAATCTCAATCCATGGCCTATAACCCAACAATGAATAGAGAGCAAACAGTTAGTCTTGTAGAAGTTGTAGGACAGATACATTCAGATACATGCTGGTAAGGAGACTATATCATAACATCGGAACAATTTAGTTTTACAGTGGGGAAAATATTTATTTGATTCCCTGCTGATTTTGTAAGTTTGCCCACTTACAAAGAAATGAAGGGTCTGTAATTTTTATGGTAGGTTTATTTTAACAGATAGAGACAGAACACCAATCAAAAAATCCAGAAAAAAAACATTATATAAAGGTTAGAAATTGATTTGCATTTCAGTGAGTGAAATAAGTATTTGATCCCCAAGCAAAACATGACTTGGTGCAGAAACCCTTGTTGGCAAGCACAGAAGCAAGACATTTTTTTTTAGTTGGTCACCAGGTTTGCACACATCTCTGGAGGGATTTTGATCCACTCCTCTTTACAGATCCTCTCTAAATCCTTAAGGTTTCTTGGCTGTCGTTTGGCAACTCAAAGTTTCAGCTCCCTCCACAGATTTTCTATAGGATTGAGGTCTGGAGACTGGCTAGGCCACTCCATGACATTAATGTGCTTCTATAATAATATTTTCCCCACTGTAATTTTAAACATTCTTACAAGTTAATGTAACTTTCTCTTAGGCTCTTTAACGAAATATTCGGCTCAAAATGTACACAACGATAAAATATTTTAGCAAATCAAATCCTAATGTCCCATTCTTTACAGTATTAAATCACTAAACATCTCCAAACTAACTTGTTCACTATGCAGCTTGTGAAGCTACTGCGAGTATTACTGATCAAGTCACTTTGCGGTTCATACACAGTGAAACAGCTGGTTCGTGCACTAACCAGGACAATCAGCCACTTCCTTGAAAGCCTTCCTCTTGCAGCAGCCACGGCACAAGTTGAACACACACTTGTTCCCCTGTTGAGGGAGCAGAGTAAAATTAATTTGCCTTGTTTACATCTGTGAATTTAAGATTTTTATAAAGCACAAGAAATGGCTCTGTAAACACATCAAACCCATAAAATAGTCAGATGAAAGAAAAGATAAAAGTCTTACTTTAGGGTTTCCACACTGCTCACACTTAATGTATTTAGCTGAAGAACACAAGGAGGTAAAGGCAATGTTACTTTACCTTAATCAATAAATGTTAGCCGATATCTCAACGATAATACACTACTGTTCAAAAGTTTGGGGTCAGTAACAATTTTGAAAGAAATTAATATTTTTATTCAGAAAGGACACATTTAATCAAAAGTGAAGACATTTATAGTGTTACAAAAGATTTCTATTTCAAATAAATGCTGTTCTTTTGAACTTTCCATTCATCAAAGTATCCATAAAATATTAAGCAGCACAACTGTTTTTGACATTGATAATAAGAAATGTTTCTTGATCAGCATATTATGATGATTTTTGATTGATCATGTGACACTGAAGAATTATTATAATTTTTTTTTAAATATCTTACTGACCCCGAACTTCTGAATGGTAGTGTATTCGCAGGTTACAATAATATTCATGTCACTTAAAGGCCCCATTATGTCTGCAGGCATTAGGAAATATTGGGATAAGATTTAGCCTTACGTTTCAGCTCTGGACAGAAGTTTTTGTTGGGGTTACGGGCTTTCTTCTTCTGCTTGTTCTTGGACAGGGAGTCGCTGGATCCGTCGCCGTCCTCCAGTGCCCTCTTTACACTCACAGCTTTTGTTTCCGGTGCTTTCTGCCCATTTTCAGTGTTTGGATCCTTGGGCCTGCAAAATATTCCAGCCTCACAATCAAGTTCCAATGTAACCACTGTTATATTCAAACTAGTTTATGTCTACCATGGACAGAGTTTTTTTCTTTGAACCTTGGCTTTGACCTATTTAGTCAGTGTCCAAGATTTTGATTGATATTATACTGTTTTGCTGAGACAACAGACTCACGGTGGTCTGACGTAGGGCTGGCATATCCAGTGAGGAAAGGGAAGTCGAGTCTTAGTCCATTCTGATTCATCTTTAGCCATCTCCTTCTGTAACAGTAAAAAGCAACTGCTTCAGAAAATTAAATAAGCCTAATGTAATAAATCTTTCTGTCTTGGAATAAAGATGGACTGATGAAGAATTTGTAATCAACAAAATTCCTTTACCTGGCAACGTTGTTTCAGCTGTCTGTTGACCTCTGCAACCCCAGCTACGTTTTTTGCTTTGGCCAGCTCCTCCCTCAGGTCTTGGTGTATCTGTAAGCTGTTGTAATAAAAATACATACTTATTATTATGGAATTCACCAGTCATCAACCTCCTGTTTGGGGTCGGTAAGATGTTTTAAAGTTTTTGAAAGAAGTCTTTTATGCTCAACAAGGCTGCATTTCTTTATCAAAAATACAGTAAAAACAGTAATATCATAAAATATTATTACAATGTATTCCTGTGATGTCAAAGCTGAATTTCAGCAGCTATTCCTTCAGTCTTCAGTGTCACATCTAACAGACACATCCTTCAGACAGAAACATTTCTTCTTCTTATCAATGTTGAAAACCATTATACTGCTTAATATTTTTTTTTTAAACCTGTGATACATTTTTTCAGGATTCCTTGATTAAGAGAAAGTTCAGAAAAACATTTATTAACAAGCATTTATTTGAAATTTTCTGTAGCATTATAAATGTGTTTACTGTTACTTTTAACTAATTGTATGTGCCCTTGCTGAATAAAGGTATTCATTTCTTTTTTAAAAATCTTACTGACCTCAAACTTTTGAATGATAGTGTATTTAATGAACTCTCTTAATTCATTAAGAGTAGGGATGCACGATATTATCGGACCGATATCGGAATCGGCCGATAATGGCTTTAAATGTAAAAATCGGCATCAGTCCGACATGAAAAATTATGCGATATGTCTTGCCAATAAGATGAATACATTAACTCACATGTGCTCATGGGTATGCTAGCGATTAGATCAGGTCAGCAGTGTGGCTCATTTTTGAAGCAAAGTTTTGCCTGAATGGTGATTAGATTCACTGTTTTGGATTGCTGCATTTAAATTTTAAACTGAGAATGCACGGACAGAATGACGCATTCGGTGTGTGATAAACAGTAAACAGTAATAGCACGCAGTGGCAGCAGCGGCAGCCTCCCCCCGGGTCCTAAAGCCCGCTCAGTAAGGAGTTTTAATTCCGTAAGGGGCGCTGTTGGCCTACTTCTAATCAAATGAAAGTAAAATACACAAATAACATTTAGACTGTTTCTGATTAAATAAAGCAGTAATTTGTGTCATAAAATCATGAGTATGTTTTGATTTAAATGTCAGAAGCTATAGCTTACATGAATAAAAAAAATTACAAACATGACACTTGTAAATTAAATAATTTTACATATACTGATATATTCATTAATGTGTAATATGTTATATTTTAAACAAATTATGAGCTCTAAAAGATATTTAGAATTTTTACAACTCTTGCTTTAGACCATCTACAAATGTTAACTTTTAAAATAAAATGTTAAGGTTACTACTGCATCTTTCTGGAAAAAAATGCAGCAATTAATATATACTTTATTTATAGTTATTTTCAAAGCATCAATGTACTGTCATTATAAAAGAACTTCATTATTGTTTATTTAATTCTAACAAGTAAGTTCTTGTTAAAAACTAACCAAAATTAAAAATAATTTGCTTATAATTTCCACACAGGAGAGACTTGGTGTTGTTTCCAAACAAAAGGCAATATATCGGTATCGGCATCGGCTATCGGCCAAAATAAGTTGAAAAATATCGGCATATCGGACATCGGCAAAAATCCAATATCGTGCATTCCTAATTAAGAGTGTAAAATCTCAAGCAACAGCAAAATATCAGTCAAGCATCAAATGTGAACGAACATACGTGTGGTGCCATAGTTTAAAGATGTGAGCACGGACATAAGACAGACTACAGGGTGGGTGTTTCTCCACAACCTCCAGGTACTCCTCAGCCATCTCCCACACAGGTGGACTACAGCCTTCAAACAGGGCAGGATTGTGGAGATTCCCTTCTGTGAAAGTAATGTCTTCATATATTTATATTACTGCATTGCGAAATATCAAAGTGGGAGTTTTTCTGTACGAGTACGTTTATGAATCTTCTCTTTGCATGAGGAGAGTGTTACCTGCACTCATGACACCTTGTACTCCAGTCTCCTCCATGCAGCGCTGAACATCACTCAGGTGCTGGATGTTTCCATTGGCGAAAACGGGAATGTTTACAGCCTCTCTACACAAGTACAATAAAGGTACACCATCAGGACAAAACACTAAGGACGGTCAAAGCCAGTAGCAAGTGTTGTATCTCTTACCGTACAGCTTTTATGTGCTTCCAACTTGCAATGCCCGTCAAAGCCCCCTTTTGATCTTTAGTTCTGCCATGAACTGTGAGGAGCTGTAAAAAATGTTAAAGATACCAAACCATCAGCAGCTGGTTCAAGAATATATGAATCGCATTAGACTGAGATTTGAGGTAATGCAGTGGTTACAGCTCGTATAACAAACATTTACAGATCAGTTCCAGGTTGAAGAGACCTAAGCCTCACTCACTCAAGTGGGCTCCTGAGAAAGGTGCTTATTCCCAGGTTACTCCACATGCACTTTAGACAAAAGTATCTGCTATATGACAAGCAATGGGAACACTTTACCTGGCATCCTGCCTTTTCCAGCATTTTGGCATACTTCACAGTTTTCTCAATCTCTGGGAAGACCCGGATTTTGCAAGTAATGGGCACGGAAAGTTTTTCATCAGCCAGTTTAACTGTAAACGACAGCACCTGAATAAAACACATTCTCTACATGGTTCACATCTGCACTGAGCTATTAAAATAAGACAACTTACTCATTTTCTCAAGAAGGTCCCACTCGTCTTGAAGAAACACACCATAATGGCCTAGGAGAGAACTTAGTATATAAAACCATGATCCGCACTTCTTTTTGCGTTTTATTTACTTGGTAATAAAGCTCTTCTGATTCTGATTCTGATTCTGAAATAATACTTTTACGTCCGTACTATAATTGACCACTAGATGTCAGTGTTGACCTAATCATTTTGCTGACATTTTTAGATTTTCAGAAAGCTTCATTCGGTGTGATTTATAAGCTTGTTTCCTCATGGGGACCAAAAATGTCCCCATAAGGACAAGGATTTTGGATATTGCCATATTTGTGACTGAGGACATTTTGTCTCCGTAATACACACACGCACGCACACGCACTTATTTGCTATTTTTACTCTTCATTATACAAAAATATTGTACCTTTTCTACTATTTGGCCCCTTAAACATGCTGTTTACTACGATAGTGTATGTATGATAGCAAGATACTCAGAATTAACCATGAAAAACATCTCTTTGTACTCATCAGTGTTCAATTGATTTTTATTTTTCTAATATACTTCTTTATTTTTCTAATATACGATCTTTAGAGCAGTTGTATTGTTGAATACATCGTATTGAGTTGAATACATCATTACATTAAGAAGCACTTAGAGATGTGTTGTTTTTATGGTTAATATAAATATAGAATGCCTGTGATTTGTTATCTTGACACTTTTCTTTATTAATAATAGAATCAACAGGCATGCAATTGTTTCCTCATGTTTCAGGACATTTGTGTTGACAGAGCACTGGTGAAAACACTTGTTACAGAAAGTACCAGTTAAACTAGAATCTACTTAAGAGCATTCCCATTTTGTCAACTCTTTGTTGTGAATGCATTAGTTTTCCTCTGTTTAGATCTTATAAAGTATTATTTATCACTGCCCTAATACAGTGTGTTGCATAGGGTGACCATACGTGTCATTTTCCCCAAAGAACCGGTTCGCGGAAAAGAACCGAACTTCCCATCACTAGCTGGTATGGCTGTTAAAGTGGGCGTTTACTGTGTTTCCTGGCGCATTGCTCTCAACGTGACTGAGCACATGCAAGGGAAAGCTGAGTATTTCAGTCATGTGACTCTCACCTATACAGCCTCAAGTGTTGGCTCTGCTCTGACCAATCATGGTCCACTGAATACAATAGGCTTGTTTGAGATGATCAGAGCAAGTCGGAGGTAAGTCGGACACTTTTCTAACCGGCATGCATCTCGCGGTGATCACCGGTGATCGGTTCTGCGCAGATTCTGCTCATCTCAAACAAGCCTAATATCAGCTTCTGTGGGCGTTATCATAGAAAAGTGTCTTACGGCCAAGAAAATGTACTTATATGTAAATATTTGTTGTTTTGTAATTATGAAAAATTGTTCTCTCACCTAACACATTAGGACAACTAACTGCATCCTGTTACATTGTACAGCTGCATCTCTAAACATCATGAAATATTAATTAAATGAAGCTTATTAAAAAAGCTATTAAGCAGTACATATAATTTAAATAAATGTAATTGCGTTTCTTATCAGCAGGCAAAAATGTACACCAATGAGTCATTACAAGGTCCTGTAATTATTGACTCTTTAACTATTCCACTTCCTTATAGGCTTCATATTGATATGAGTAAATCATCTGCTTTATGTTATTGTTTACCTTTTTAGCTGCTATTTTCACTATGAAGAATCAAGTAAAGTTGTGAATATGTTCAGTCTGCATGCTTTCTGCAGACTGTATGCTTTTGATGTTTTAGTCTATGGCCTTTTACAACTACTTGTTTCTCTGCATAAATTTCAGAATAATTTTTCCATAATGCTTTGCTTCTGAATATCAAGTCATTTGGAATTTAGATTATATTTCTGATTATTAGAAATTGCTTATATATATTTTAATCACGCAGGTGCTCATATTCAGAGCTGCCATATGAAGCAAGTCTACTGTAATAAACAAACAAAGGATATAAACCACTTTAATCCCAATCAATATTAATTTTACAATTGTTTCCAGGCCAGTTGCATAAACATAAGACTGTCTTAAGAACTAGTTTGACTAACTAGCAGTTAACCAAGTGGTTATCAGTCTTACTTTTCAGATTCAAATTAGATCAATCTATGTTTTTATGTAATAGACTTTAAAAAATGATGACCAGTCTTGCAGAAAAAAATTAGGTGACTAACTTTTAAGACTAGTCTAAGACCAGTGCAACTGGCCACTGGAACTACTGTACACCTATTATCTCCATCCTAAGTCTATTTTTATTTGATTACATAAAGAGAGATAAGATGTGTTTAACATAAGTTTCAACTTCACAAACTGGTTTTGCAAGTTATCTTCCTGAAATATTATGATGAACACACCCAATAAACACCCGCAGATGTAAACTTTGTCATTTTCAGTATTGAACCAAGTAGGCTACAATAGAGAAGCAAATTTATAAATCTAATTCAGCAATGACATATCACCTGACTTATATATATATACATAATGACATATATACATACACTGCCGTTCAAATACTTATGTCCTTTGCCGGTGTCCCTGTCCGGTGGAGTCGCACGGTAGAGTCGATGGACTTTACACTCTTCGGTCTTCACACGACCGCAGCCGCGACCGCTTCCGCGGTAAACTAAGCTTCTTTTTAATTAGTTTAACAAAACTCAAATTGAATTCAGCTGGACACACTTTCCTGTTTATCCCAACAGAATTTTTCATAGATTTCTGAAGGATCATGTGACACTGAAGACTGGAGTAATGATGCTGAAAATTCAGCTTTGATTCACAGAAATAAATAATATTTTAAAGTATATTAAAATAGAAAACCATTATTTTAACTGGTAATAATATTTTACAATATTACTGTTTTTTCTGTATATTTGGTCAAATAATGATGAGCAGAAGAGACTTCTTTAAAACACATTAAAAATCTCACTGATCCCAAACTTTTGAACAGCAGTGTAAATGTTTATTTATACACATTGATTTACATCCCTGTACATTGTCCAGACTTATTAGTGGGAATATCGCTAGTAAAACACTTAACTAAGTTTTAATAAACATTTTTCATATATATCAATGGAACTACGGTTATGGATGTTTCAAAATTTCAACCGATTTATCACGAAATAATCCAAGCAGACGGTTTGTTGTTTTAACCGAAGATTTGAGAAGGCCCGGAAGATTTTCCACTGGCCCGCTGTTGCCAGGGGAAGTGACGTCACCGCAGCCCGCTGGATTCTTGCGCTGATGGAGCTTCTGTTGTAGCAGAGATACACAGAGTAAACGGCAGTTTCAGGGCCAGCGGAGCTAGAAGGGAGTCGTTTTCAAAATCCGCCTTCATCCTTTTTTAAACAGACTTTTTTTCAGGGTAAAAATTACTAGAGCATAAAGTTCACAGTTTACTCTTTTAAATAAGCCTAATATTTTGATATTTCCCAATTCGGAATGTTAGAAAACGACTGGTGAAAATTGGGTAGCTACTGTGAAGGGAATTAGCAAGCTAGCAGGCTGTATAAGGGGATTCTGGCTGGGAGAGACGGAAGAATAGACGGATAACAAAGAACGGATTTTCGTTGCTTTTTTTAAACACTCCGAACATATATCATTTAAATCACTTCCGTTAAAGCTAGCTTTATCGCTAGCTTTTTTATTTAGCCATTTATCATGGAACTGAGAGTAGGAAACCGATACAGACTGGGAAGGAAAATTGGCTCTGGATCCTTTGGTGACATTTATTTGGGTAAGCAATTGTTCACTGTATTTTTTCGTTTATTGAGAGAGTCGGTATTATCTGTCAGTTTAATAAAAGTGCACATCATATTTTGTTTTGAAACGTCAAATGGATCCCCAGTGTCCCTCAGTGAACTGCTATTGAAAGTCCTATTCAGTATTGCTCGAAAACCAGAAAACCCCCCACTAACCAGCGCTATTTTGATAGATAACCAGCTAGTTTAACACGTCAGTTAACTGGAGATTAGTTTCAACAGACATTAGGCCCGTGTTTGTATGTAAATAAATATTGTTATCAATGTTATGTGATATCAAGCCTTTTCTTGGGTGGAAATACAGAATCAGGCAGTCCAGCCGAACCAGTTATGCTTTATGGACTACATATTATTAGAAATTATATTGTCTACAGAGCTGCTGTATATTAGTATTTGTACTAGTACTACAAAACAAACACTGAAGAGACTGTAAGTCCCAGATCAGTTTAGACGAAATTCAGCTTTGCCATTCCTAAATGGGAATTCCTAAATACACTGTTCTGCATGTTGTTTGCTGAACTGTCAGCTGTATTTTAATGTGTCGTTATGTTCATAATTTGTTTCAAGTATGTGTAGGAGTCTCACATTTGAAATGATTATTTTTGGTGGCTATGTTCTCGCATGTCCTGTCAAAGACAATCTTATGGCGAGTTTAGCCTGTATTTTGTGGCTTAAACATCTAATATTTTCAGTCAGCTAATTCTTTTTTGCCTTTTAAAGACTTTGCTATGCTATATTTTTGTTATATCTCACTGATTTGTCAGGTCTGTTAATGAAATGACTGACAGAAGAGGAAGTGAAATAGTTTGTCACAAGTAAACACACACATATAGGGTTAGTATTGCATACTGTCTGTTGCATGTGTGATCAGATACTTGCAACTTTTGAGTTGTTTCTCATGTTGCTAGAGTTCTTTAATTATAAGAACTTTTATAAAAGGTCTGTTATGCTCAACTTGAAGAACTTGGCAAGTTCCCTTCGCGTGCAAATTTCAGCTTAACTTCCGCAGGGTCTTGTGAAAAGAACTGGTGATGTAATATTTGCTTTCGTCATTGGTTTTTGGGGGCCTGAGGCAACTGGTATTGTTGTAGGCAGCTGCCTTTAATGTACCTTTCTCATAAGTTCTTATGACTCACCACAATGAAGTTATTAAAGGCTGCCAGTTATTATGTATATGGTCCTAGGCTTAGTACCAGTTTCTTTTGAAGCATCCTGCGCAGGCCTTTATGGTTTGAATTGTGATGCAAAGTTTTGCATTGCAATTTGGGATGTATTATGGTTCCTTGTGGTTTTATGAGCTTTGTGCTCTTGCGCAACTCCGTCGTTTTCGTTTTGCAGTTGGAGTTGTGTGCAATGATCTCATCGCTAGCCAGAGTTGTGTTTATTGTGATCCGTTCTCTGCAGTACTTCGGTGGAGAAATACTCCACGCCTCCTCTTTGTACTTCTCTCCAGAAACGGCTTAAAAAACAACCACTGGTTCCAAAGCAAGATCCTAAATCTGAATAGATAAGCCACCCAGTAAATTACTCAAACTTTTTTTTGAATGCAGAAGTCCATTGAAGTTTGCAGACAAAGTAGGAAGAAGTAGATCAGCTGATTTTTGTGTGGCTGTTTACATAAAAACTTTGTTTTTGTTTGCCACAGGATGGCACAATCAGAGCGGGCGTCACGCCTCGACTGTGCACTCTAGAGTAAGGTTACGCATTGTATACATGTTTCTGTGGCATTAATGGTCAACAGTACAATCCTAATGTGTGAATTACCAAGTGCCTAAATGTTGTTATGCAACAGTGGTGATTCAGCTGGTGTACTGGAAACAGCCGTGTTCATCTACTGTCTAAGGGGCTTATGTAAAGACTCCCAATATTCCCACACCTGGGGAGGCAGAGCCTGACAAACTCCAGCTGGGGCTGAAGGAGGCCAGACTGACCTGATCAACAACACATGCTCTCTCTACCAAGCCTCTTAAAAAGTACAGCACCGGCCTGCCTACGTGAACCAGAGAAGAGGAAATACTCAGAGCTCTCATGAAAACATGCAGCCAAGAGTGTTTTTAGTGGCATGGTGGCACAATGTGTTTCCATTGTCTTCAGTAAATAACAACTTATGGGTTATTGGAACTGTATCGGAATTGTTTTTTTATTTTTTATCAACAATGGTCAATATTGGATATTTATTTGTATAAATATGGGAATTGAGCATGTACACTTACCATTCAAAAGTTTAGCAAGTTTATGTATTTATTTCATGAAATTAAATGTGTATTCAGCAATGATACATTAAATTGATATAAATTACTGACATTTATAATGTTACAAAAAATAAATAAATTTCTTTTTTAATCTTTATATTTCTCAAAGAAGCTTAAAAAGTTTCCACAAAGTATTAAGCAGCATGACTGTTTTCAAAATTGATGATAATAAGAAATGTTTCTTCTGCAGCAAATCAGCATATTAGAATGATTTCTGAAGAATCATGTGACACTGAAGACTGGAGTAATGATGCTGAAAATTCAGCTGTACCATCACAGGAATAAATTACATTTTAAAATTATATTTAGAAAACAGTTATTTTAAATTGTAATAATAATTCACAATATAAACAGTTTTTACTGTATTTTTGATCAAATAAATTCAGCTATGGGAGAGCATAAGAGAATTTCAAAAACATAAAAAATTTTACCAACCCCAGACTTTTAAATTAAAATGTAGATTTAGATTAGTTGTGCTGTCATCTAACATTTTAAAGATTTAAATGATTTATTGTAATTTTAGTGTTTTATTTTTAGTTTATTTAGACAACATAGTACAGAATTTTAATATTGTCCATTTGTCGGTTATTGGCCATATCATGAAAATAATTGACTTATCGGAATTGGTCCAAATTTGTTACTAGGTTTTCAACCTTGTAGAACACTTTTTCCACGTGCTGTTTAATAGATCTGATTGTTGTTTAACACCCTTTGCCGATTAATCGGCACCGATAGTTAATTGCTATTGGCAAAAATCTGCACCAAACATCAGCGGCTGAGAAAGGTCCGCTATCATTCTATAGTACAAGAGTGGCCTCTAGAGGTGGAAATCACTGACACCTCGTGTTGTTTGTTTTGACACGTGACACTGCGTGCTGCACAGAGCGGGACCCTTCAGATGCGAATTAAAAACATCGCCAACTAAACGTGTACTGTGTAGTGCATGTTTACATTAGCATTTGCGACTGAAAACTACTGCGTGCGACTGAAAAAATATTTAGGAGCACCAGTGTAGACAGGGTGTAAATAAGAGATTCATTGCGCAGTGTAGAGAGCTTTGTTGATTATAAATGTGAGATCGAGATGAACTAAGATGAGTGACAGCTTTTAATGATTTTTAAGGGAGTTTGTAAATGCGATACTGATTTAATACAATACAATTCAATAAACAAGAAGTTAATATTAAGTGACTTACATTGTCTGACTATAACACTATTGTCTGATTTTGCTCTATTTCGTCGTCGAAAATAGTTTAAAACAAAGGCACAGCAGAGCCGCTGCGCATCTCTATTCAAACACAGCGATGTTTAGTTTATGAATGAATGGGGATTTTTAAACGAATCTGTGAGTCAGTGATTCATGATTACCCATTCATAAATACTGTCACTTGATTCATTCCTGAATGAATCAGCTGTTCGAAAGAATCAATTGAATGAATGATTCAGTGATAAAAATCAGTGACTTGCCGCCATTTGCTGGCAGTTTGTTTCATTTTAAAAGTATCTTTTCAGTTATTTAAATCATTTAATATTTCTATATTCAAAATGTTATATTTAAAACATTAATATCATCATGAATTTATGGATTTAATTGCACTCATTCCACTTCTGAGCCTCATTAAATGTCTGAAAGTACACCAAGCCACTTTTGTGTTCTTCTGTGCCACCTCTACAAATTAATTTTGTTAAAACTGATTTCATTTGATTTTTAACTTATGTTTCTTATTCTACTCTTATTCTGTCGTTTTAATTACAATTTTTAAAAAGCTTATAAAATATAATTTTTTTAAAAATTTGGCAAAAGATGACATACTTTTAATAAAGTTAGAGGAGTCAAATAGCACCTTCTAATCAATTATCCAAAATGTTATCAAAAAGTAGCCTTCCCATTACCAGGTAATATTTGACTCCTCTAACTTTATTAAAAGTATGTAATCTTTTGT